AGACACACTGGATGGATGGATGAATAGATGATAACTTTGATGAGTCCTGTCAGAGTCAAATCCAAACTCCAGCTCACAGGCCACACACTCCAATGTGGTCTGGCCCCTCTTGGCTTTCCTGTCTTCATCTCTCCCCACTGACTCCCTGGCTCACTTCTCTTCAGTCCCATTGGCCTCCTCATTGCTCCTCAAACACTCCAAGTTCATTCCACTTCAGGGCCTTTACATTTGCTGTTCCCCTGCCTGGAATACTTTTCCTCCCAGATATATCCACAAAGCTCCTTCCCTCACCTCCTTCAGTTGTCATCTCCGATAGACTCTCCTTACAGATACCTTCCCTGATCGCTACAGTTCATCACTCTTTAATCCCCTTTGTTGTTATTCTTAGGTGTCATCCAATCATTTCTGACTCATAGCAACTCCACATACAACAGAATGAAACATTGCCTGGTCCTGTGCCGTCCTCACAATCATTGCTACGTTGGAGCCCATTCTTGCCCAGATGGTGTCAATCCATCTCATTGAGTGTTGCTGTTGTTGCTGTTATGTGCCATCAAGTCAGACCTGACTCATAGCAACCCCTCCTTGGGTTTCCGAGGTGGTATCTCTATGGAAGTAGATTGTCCAACCTTCCTTCCAAGGAGTGGCTGGTGGGTTTAAACCGCAAACTGTCTGGTCAGCAGTCAAGTACCTTAGGCACTATGCTACCAGAGCTCCTTCTCATTGAGGGTCTTTCTCTTTTTTGCTGACCATCTACTTTACCAAGAATTATGTCTTTCTCTACGGACTGGTCCCTCCTGATAACATATCTGAAATACATAAGATAAAGTCCTGTCATCCTCACATCTATGGACTTCTTCCAAGACAGAGTTGTTCATTCTATGGAATATACAACTTGGATCTGACTTGAAGGCAGCGAGTTTGGTTTTTTGTTTGTTTGTTTGCTTCCATGAGTGTTGATGTGGATTAAAAACAAAACAAAACAAAACAAAACTCACTGCTGTACAGTCGGATCCGACTCATAGTGACCCCTCCTTGGGTTTCTGAGGTAGTATCACTATGGAAGTAGATTGCCCAACCTTCCTTCCAAGGAGTGGCTGGTGGTTTTGAACCGCCAGCCTCCTGGTTATCAGTCAAGTGCCTTAGGCACTACGCCACCAGAGCTCCTCAATTGTGGATCCAAGTGAAATGAAATCCATGACAACTTTAGTCTTTTCTCCATTTATCATGATGTTGCTTCTTGGTCTACTTGTGAGGATTTTTGTTTTCTATATGTTAATGTGCAATCCATACTGACAGCTGTAGACTTTGATCTGCATCAGTAAGTGCATCAAGTCCTCTTCACTTTCAGCAAGCAAGACTGTGCCATATCACAGATTTTTAATGAGTCTTCCTCCAGTCCTGATGCCATATTCTTCATATAGTTGGTTAGTATGTAGATTAAATAGTATGCTGAAAGGACACAACCTTGATGCACACATTTCTCAATTTTTATGCCATGCAGTATCCCCTTGTTCTGTTTGAACAACTGCTTCTTGGTCTAGGTGCAGGTTCCATTTAACACAATGAAATGTTCTGGAATTCCTATTCTTTGGAATGTTGTTCATAATTTGTTATAATCCACACAGTCAAATGCTTTTGTCAGTCAGTAAAGTACAAGTAACCATCTGTCTGGTATTCTCTGCTGTCAGCCAAGATCCACCTGACATGAGCAATGACATCCCTCATTCCACGTCCTCTTCTGAATCCAGCTTGAATTTTTGGCAGTTACCTGTCGATGTACTGCTGCAACCATTTTTGAATTATCTTCAGCAAAACTTTACTTGTGTGTGATATTAATGATATGGTTTGATAATTTCCTCATTCTGTTGGATCACCTTTCTTTGGAATGGGCACAAAGATGGATCTCTTCCAGTTGGCTGGCCAGGAAGCTGTCTTCCAAATTTCTTTGCATAGCCGAGCGAGTGCCTCCAGCACTTGCTTGTCTAATCCTCCTTACCCTATTCATTATCCTTCACGCCACATGCATTGCATTAGATATTTCTCTGGTTATTTTCTTTATCACTTGTCAGGTCAGCTTCAAGATGGCAGAAATTTTAACTGCTTGGCTCACAGCTGTATCTCCAGAGCTTAATAATATCTGGTGACTGAATGAGGGGACAAATGACTTCTCGGAGGAATCCCAGATGATCCCAGGGTCTGTCAGGGGCAGGAAGGAAAGCCATGGAGGAGACAATGGGAAGCAGGGTATCCTATCTCACCTCACTCCAGGATACGCCCTCCGTCCCTTTAGATGCCAAGCTGGGTGGGCAAGCATAGGGGTTGAGACAGTTTCAGGAACCTAGCTGCCTGGAGACACTGCTGCCCTTGACATGACCCCATCAGTCCGGCCCCAAACAGATTACCTCAGTCAGCTCCACCACTACTTACTGTTTAGCCCCGCCTTCATTGGCCCTTACATAGTGCTGCCGCCAATCACTCCCGTTTAACCCTGCCCCAGTTTATTCCCACCAGAAAGCAGCTTCCTCCCAGCGTGGGGTCAATCATCTCTACCAGCAAACTCTCCGGCACCTCAGCCAATCAAGCAGGGGAGGGGAAACCTAGAGTTCTCCCTGGGGGCAACTGCTCCTAGGAGCTGTCAGGGACGGGGAGAACCCACCTGGTGGTGGTCTTAAGTATCCTTCTTGGAAACCAGCTTCAACTTGGCTCCTGGTTCATTTTTTCTAGCAGTCTCTGTGTGTGTGTCTGTGTGTGTGTGTCTTTGGGTCTCTTGACTCTCTCATCCATCTCTCTCTGCTTGTTTCTGAATCACAAGGCAGTTGAGAACCTGCTGTTTGCCAGCCTGATGCTAGACACTAAACATACTCCCTGACACACCCAATGCATAAGGCTAGACACTAAACATACTCCCTGACACCCCACAATCTCTCCTCTCGGCCTGGAAACGCTTCCATCCACAGTCTAACCCTCATCCCTCCAATTCCTCCTCAGGGTGGGTACAGGAGCCCATTCCTTTTGTCCTTGACCAGGAAAAGGAAGGTACTAGGACTGTGTCTCCCAAATGTTGACCTGCAATCTCCTACTAGTGACGTCTTCACAGGTACTGTCCCCAGCCATGCCACTGGGTCCCTTCTGACTCCCGGTGATGCCATGTGTGTCTGAGTGGAACTGTGCTCCACACGGTTTTTCAGTGGCTGATTCTTTGGAAGTAGATGATCAGGCCTTTCTTCCCAGGTGTCTTCAGGTGGATTTGAACCAGTGAATTATCTGTTTGCACCACTCAGGGACTCCCTCCATGGAAGTAAAGCCCAAAAACTAAACCCACTGCCATTGAGTCAATTCTGACTCCTAGGGACCCCATAGAACAGAGTAGAACTGCCCCCTTTGGATTTCCAAAGTTATAAATCCGCACAGAAGCAGACCGCCCCATCACAGAGCGGCTGGTGAGTCAGAACTGCTGACCTTTGGGTTAGCAGCCAAATACCTTAACTACTGTGTCACCAGAGCTTGTAGAGGTGGATTATTTAACAAACGGGGAACCATGTGGGCTCAGGAGCCAGAACACCTCGGTTCAGCCCTCGCTCTGACACTCCCGAGCTGTCTGAACTTGAACAGGTGGCTTAACTTTTCTGTGCTTCAATTTCTTCACCTGTAAAATGAGGGTAATGGCAACACCCATTGAAGGTGCTGGAAGGATTACATGCTTTAATCCATGCTGTATGCTTGAAACAGCTCCCTGCATGTCATAAGCACTCAATACATTTTTACTGTTTTTGATCCCAGCTCTCCTCTGATCTACAGATCTGAGATAAGAAAGATGCTCCCACCCTCAAAATGGAGGAGAGAAGATATTTCCCAGTAGCTGAAGAAAACTTGGGACTTCCCTAAATTTTGCGAGCCCCCCCACAGGGGACGGCATAACATTGGGAGGGATACTTGCTTCTGTGAGAGCATCAATGGGGGTGTGCAAGGCATCAATGTTAGTGATCGATCTCTCTCTCTCTCTCTCTCACACACACACACACACACACACACACACACGTGCACCACCATACAAACGTTTGCACACCCAGCCCTCATTCTTCAGACTCCCTTTCAGAGTGATTCACTCAAAGGCACAGTATAACACACGATCACCCCAAAGCACACACACAGCCACACACCTAGTCATATACATTTTGTACAATGCCCAGGCCGATGGACACAGTCATGGGGTCACTGTCACACACAGCCCTTTACACACACACAGCTACAGCTGTCGAAATACCCGGAGTCACACAGCCAGTCACACACAGACACTAACTCCCAATGCAGGCTCACAGAGTCTCACACTATCACACCTGCCCTCCCACACTGTCACCCACGGTCACACACAGACACTCGCTCACGTACAAACACCCTCTGCCGATCACACCCCAACTCACGTAAGGCGGACAAACACCCTCACAGCCTCACACACAAACTCCCTTCAGTTACACCCAGCCACCGACATAAAGCCACACACGCTTCTCTAGGACCTGCACACACACGGTCCCCGTCAGTCACTCACACGTGAGTCCCGCCCCTTTCTCCACACAGAGGGTGCAGGCAGAGATGGGGACCCCAGAATCCACACCTCCCGCCATAATGGAGGGAGTGAAGCGTGATGGACCCCCCCAAGCCCCCTGAAGTTTCTCCCCCAACTCTGTCCCCTCCCCACTCCCAGTTCCACGGAGATGGTGGGGTGTGGGCTTCGGGTCACCGAAGGGCTGAGAACCCCAGAAGCCGGGGTCAGGCGGACCCCCAAACCATCCCAGCTTCAGACAGGATTTGAAGCTCCCCCTTCACCTTCCCCAAGCCGAGGTGGCTGTCCCAGCCCCTCCCCCGCTGCGACCCCCGCCCCTGGTGAGCCCTGCAGCTTCGGGGCTCGTGGAGCCCTAAACCTACCTCTCCAGGAACCCTCCGAGCCCCGCTCCCCTCCAGGAGCCCCCCGAGGCGGCACCTGCCCGCCGGGCCCCTACCTGTCCGGCGAGGCCTGGGCACAGCAGCAGCAACAGCAGCAGCAGCAGCGGCGGCGGCGGGACCGTGAGCGGCCACATGACGCGCCCCCGGCCCGCGCCCTGGCCCTCCGCACGCCCTCCAGGCGCCTCGGTGCGGGGCCCGGGACCATGCGCGACCCCGCCCTCCCGGCCGGGGCGACCCTCCGCCGCCACCTCCCCCGCCTCGCCGGCGGCCGGGATTCCGCCAACCCCCGCCCCCTGGCTCGCTCCCAGTCTTTGTTGCGGGCTCCGCCCCCAGCCCCGCCCCCAGCTGGTCTTCGGACCCGACCGAGCCGGGTCTGCGGGCCGGGAAGGTGGGACCTGGGACAGATCCGACAGACAGGATCCAACAGCTCCTCAGAACATCATGGGGGTGGGTCACGGAGCTGGGGGAGGGGTTGTCCGTCACGTGTTTGTAAATTTCATCCTCTCGGGCCATTCCCCACCATGAAGACTCGGGTAGGGTGATCAATGGGAGTGGCAGGGGAAGTAGGAGGAAAGCCTGGTATGAAAGAAGAGAAATTGAGGGGTACCCTTCCTTAAACCAACAGGGAAACTGAGCCAGAGCCAGTGAAATTGGCAGCTGAGGAGAGGGGTCACTACCAGGACAAGTGGGTGGGGCAGAGGTGGAGATTGGGAGAGGGAGACGACCCACAGACGACGAGAGTCCAGCCAGGCCCGCCGGCTGGGTGGGCCTGGCTCCCAAAGTGGGCATCTTCTTCTCACTTCCCGATGGCGGCCACTCCGGACTAAAAGCCTCCCCTCCCCCGCCACACCTGGGACAATCTCTCGCTCCTGTTTCAGTGGCCCAAGATGGGAGACCAGATTCCCAGAAAATCAAATATTAATGCAGCTTCCACCAAACCATTTGCACATGAAGGACCTCCCGGTCCTGCCTGCCTTCCTCACGAGGCTCTCCCGCCTTTCCCTGTCCCTCCCCCCTCCATCAGCAGCCACACTGACCTTTCACCTCAGTTGCTTCTTTGGAGCAGGTAAGTCAGGTTGTGGAGAAACGACGGCCATAATATTTGGAAGGAGCTGGAGGATTCACATTTTTATGGCCCCACTGTGAGCCAGGCAGAAAACGCGCATTTGTTATTGATGGTTTTGTCAGGACAAGGAAGAAGGGCTCAATAGACTTTGGTTCAAACCTAGTTCTATCACTTCTCCACATGACCGCAGGCAATTTTCCCTCTCTTAAGAGACCTGTCTCCTGATAGAGCTGTTGGGAGACTTCTGTCACCTATGCAAAAAGAGTAGCATAGTGCAAATGTTTTAACACATTCAGTTGCTAACCCAAAGGTTGGCGTTTCCTGTCCATCCAGAGGTCCCTTGGAAGAAAGGCCTGGTGGTCTGCTTCCTAACAATCAGCCACTGAAAACCCTGTGGAGCACAGTTCTACTCTGACACACGCGGGGTCGCCTTGAGCCAGAACGAACTCAGTAGCAACTGGTAACTGGTAGCACCACCACCTGTTTGTGAGTTTGACATACCGTGGTGGCCGGCTTGTGTGTTGCAATGATTCTAGAAGCTAAGCCACCAGTATTTCAAATACCAGCAGGGTCACTGATGGTGGGCAGGCTTCAGAAGAGCTTCTACATTAATACAGACTAGGAAGAAGGACTTATCAATCGACTTCTAAAAAAATTGGCAAATGAAAATTTTATGACTGGTAGCAGAATATTGTCTGATATTGTGCCAGAAAATGAGCCCCTCAGGCTGCAAGGCACTCAAAATACGACTGGGGTAGAGCTGTCTCCTCAAAAGAGAGTCGACCTTAATATTGTGGATGGAGTAAAGGTTTCGGGACCTTCATTTGCTGATGTGGCACAACTCAAAATGAGAAGAGAGAGCTGCACATATCCATTAATAAT